CCCGGCCCCGCCGGGGCTGCCGCCGAGCGCCCCGCGCGCAGCCCGCCCGCAGCGGCCGCTTCCATAAAGCGGCCCCAGGTCGCCCCGAGGTGCCGCCTGCGCTGCGCCGGCCCGAGAACTTCGCCAAGTCCCATTCCCTGCGTTTCCACCGCTTTTATTGACGGAGAAGCCCCCAGAGCCCCTGCACAGGCTTCTTCACACCCATTTTTGCACCCTTTTTTACACCTGTGTTCCGCTCTGCCTTGTGGCTGCGATTCCACATTCGCTTTGGGGCAGCATCCTACGCTTAGGGATGGCACGGAGCAGCATTAAAGGGGGCAAATATTGGTATATTTAGTAATATCTACCAATATATCAGTATTTATAGGGTGTATTTACTGCTGATAGCAGAGTTCTGCAAAATCAAGTTTCTGCACATAAGCTAACTGCAGGTTTTGAAAACTTTTTTTTATTGTGGATTTTCCTGCCCTTGCTCACGTAGCAATGTCCAATTCCAGGCCCAGGCCCTGATCCGCCAAAGTTTCTGTGCCCATTTAATGTCACTGTCACCTAGATCGCCCTCAGCGACCTCCTGGAGAAGTTTGCCTCATCCCAGTCCTTCAGAGGCTTCCTTCTGCGTCCCCGTGTTCCCCTTCAGAACCAAGAATACATCACTGCCTTTCCAAAATTATCCACATAAAAGTTTTAAAAATACGAGCCTGTTAGTAGTCAGGCAAGATAGGCTATAATTATGAAAATAGTTTCAGCCTTCCGCCCAACTAATATGTTTATGCCGTGATCAAGACGTATCTCATAAAACTACGAGCCTAACAGAGTAACGAGGGGTGTTTTTTCCTCACTTGTAAGTCTCCTTAAAAAAATAAAACTCCTTAAAAACTCCTTTAAACTCCTTAAAAAAATAAAAAGGTAAAGGCAGCAACAGCAACTGCTGCTGCAGACATTTGCGGCAGGATTAAGGAAGGCTGTCGACTTGGCCCTAATCTTTCGGAAACGACCGTACATATCCTTAGCTGTACTGTAGTTTCCCAAAACAGTGGAATGACTCTTCATCTCGGATCTGAGCATGAGTTAAAAGTAAAGACTTTTTTAGGACTGGACTCTTAAGGATAAATGATAAATGGAGGGCGTTATTTTATGATTCATTGTCTAATAGTAGTATTTTATTATATATCAAAAAAAAACCTGTATTTATCACTAATGTTAAAAACATCACTGGAAAAGATGTCAGCCAGGGGACAACTAATCTTAAGTTTCTGAATAGAATCTAAGCTATCTTGTGGCACAGATAAGAGAAAATTTAATTCTTTCAACATTTCAACATTTCATTCTTGCTTTCTTTCAACAATTCAGCTGGTTCCACCTACGGAGTCTAACGTTACATCTCAAGTTCAACTCGGACTCCAGCCAGAGCATAAGACCAGCTAGTGATAGAATTATATTCTCCATGTCAAACATCATGGTTTATATTACAAACTTTTTTGTCATTTGTACAGAGCTCTGTTGTTATGGGGAGAGCTGTCCCAAGGCAATGTCCAAAGGAAATCTCCCTTGTCAGAGAGTCTATGAGACTCACAAAAGATTTCACTATTACTGTTTTACACAGATCAGAAAGCAAGTTTATTGGTGGATGTCTAGATAGTACTCCAAAACACTGTCACTTGCCTTATTTTACCATGACATATTTATTTAATATCCATATTCCATGTATCTCTTTTTTTATTCATTACTGATGCATATAAGCTAAATGAGGCAAAAATAAATTTGGCAAAAATAGATGAATTCATTTATTATTCTAACAATTGCTATTATTCTATAATTCTATATATTATATATATTCTACAGTTGTTGTTCTAACAAGCCAATATATTATCAGCTTTTCATTTTCTAAGCTTGACATTCATTAAGCTACTCAAAAGCAGCTATTAATTTAAAAGTGCCAGCCAAACAGGCATTGCAGACCCCCACTCCCTTATTTCCATACATTCTGGATTACCACCTTCCTTGCTGTTTTTTGCTCTTTCCACATTGTGGGGTTTTTGTTCTTGTTTGTTTTTTTTCCCCTCTCTCTTCCACCACCTTTTCTCTCTTTCCTATATATTCCCACCCAAAACCTTAATTCTGCAGCCTGGGCCCCAGGCTGTCTTTTAGTAAACCATCCTTCCTCCAGCAAAAGTTATTTCCTCATGATGCCGTGAATACGTCGCTATTCCAGCAGAGGGAGGAAAGCGGCAGCGGGAAGATCACGGCACAAAACCGACTGACTCGTCAGAGAGCAGGAATCGGGGCAGATGAATCACTCGTATTACAAGGGCTGGAGGTGGAGAGGCAATTTTCCATTTTATGAACTCACTATGCTGAAAATATGTGTGTGCCTTTTTCTTTCTTTCTTTCTAGCTTTAGCACACGACTTCCGTTCTTTTGAACTGTTTCCAAAGTGCTATACAGGGATGTATTGATTTAGGGGACAAAAACCTGTGAACACCCCAGAAAAGCCAGAAAATCCATCATGTTAGAAGTTGATATGAGTTGCAAACATGGTAACAAGCTGATCATGCGTAACAAGGATTCACCCCATCTATTAGTATTTGAGACAGCCGGTTAAAAGTCTGGTCATCCAGAGTTCCCTCGGCTAACCCTGGAGACCCAGGAATAACCTGGAACTTCATTCAGTCTGCTCCAGTCCAAAGCACTTTCTGAAGAGCCCTTCCCTCCCCACTGACTGCAGAAGAAGCCAAGGAGTAAATCAGGCACCTCCACTAGACACCCAGAATGTAAGTGGGATGAATCCACCCGGTCAAGAACAGTGAAGGGTGGAAAATGCTGCCTTGAAGGCAGGTACTTCTATGAGGACAAAACAGGGACCAGGCGCACCAGCAATTCCCAAGGTCTAACTGAGGAAGTAAAATAGCACCAGGAGTATCACTAGGATCGAGACGGCAAGAACGGCTCTGCTGGCGCGTCTGGAGGAGACAGAATGAGAACAGGTGGTGTGCAGAGAACGGAGGGAGGAAACATGGAGGAATAAATCCAGCTCACAGAAAGCGAGCAAGAGAAGCTGCAGAAGGAAAAAGGTATGTAGTAGGAAAATGTAGAAAATGGCATATGATGTAGAGAAAACCAAGTAAGAAGAAAAAAGACTGAAGAAAAATCGTTTAAACCCACAACCTGCAGCAGGAAAAAAAATGGGAGTCAAATAAAGGAAACAAAACACACACACAAACAGGGAAAGCTACGGTTTCAAAGCTCACTAAATGAATTTAGCACCATATTGAATGTGGTTTGCAATAATATGATAAAGTGTATGCATACAAACAGTATCCAGCCAGTTAAAACTGCGAGGATGTTTGTGTGTGTGCCACTGCAGGCATTTTCCCACCTTTAGTGGCAAGTTTCCTTCTTTTGCTACATGCTCCCGCAAAGATGTTCAAATAGGAACAAGCAGAATCTGTAAGACAACCTCTGTGTAAGACCTGAGATGGCATCACTCTTAACTGGCATGAAGAAGGAAGGCCAAATCTGCAGCTGAATTCTTCTAAGAACAAAAGTATAATGATAGAATTCACTAACGACTGTCCAGAATGAAAGCTACAGGGTGCACGAATTAAAGTGGGAAGGGTGAGACCACCCAGGAGGGTGTCACTACTATCCGTGCTCAAAAGAAAGAAAAATCATGAATCCACACACACAAAAAACTGTCAAAGGAAAGATTTGAACAGCATCACAGCACAACAGAAAACCAAGCAAGTTAATTCCTGCCAAAAGGTGTGCAGTGATCAAGACAGCCTTAAAGAGCAGGAACAAACACCAGTGGTGTAGGCTTGTTGGTAGATGAGATTCAGGATGAAATAACAACTCCAGTAGCTGATACACTGAGGTGAAATCCTGACCTGTGTCAGCTCCTGTTGACAGCACTACAACTGGGAGTATTTTTTTGTGCATTTTAAAATACGTCTCAAGTATGAGAGGTAGAAGAATATTATTTGACAAGCCAGAAAGCAGGAAATAAAAAGTTTGTATAAATCAGAATGTTCCGATAATGAGAGAGCTGTCCAAACATAATAAAGCAGACCATTTCATTTAAGGCTCTGTTATAGAAAAACATAAATACATCCAAAAAACACATTATAGTAATCTGCAGTTCACTCTCACTTCCAGTCAAATCAAGTGACTTCTCCCTTTATTATCACACACAAGACCAAGATGCCAGTTAGTGATCATCATGAGCGACACACAACAGATATTTAAACAATAAATCAGGCCGGTTTATTATCCTTTTTTTTTACCAAAGAGGCTGGAAACTAGGTAGATATGTTTGATTTTATATATGAGAAACACTTCAGTGAGGGAGCTGAAGATGCTCAGAAGTTCTGAAATTCAGCTACTCCTCAAATACAGCAGCATGAAATTATCATGGATACTATTAGCCACCTGGACCAGAGAAAATAACAATAAAAAGGCCCAACTTTCCTTTTTTTAGGGAATGGAGGCTGATATCTGTAAGCAAATCTGAGAAGCCAGCATTAGCATTAGGATAACAGTGCAACAATATGTTGCATATGTCCAGTATGTTTATCCAAGCTTCCCAGTGACTAAGCTGAAGATAATATAACATTTTATACCCAATTTATAAACATATGTCATTGCTATGTGTTATAAAATACATAGAATGTAACAAAATATTGTAACCATTTCCCTTTTTACTTAACTATCCTTAAATGCCGGTCATATTTCTTCAAGAATGATGACATAGCAGAAGAAACAGTATAAGCAGTATAAGAGTATAAGAGGCATGAGCAGAGCACCCTAGCAGCAATGAAGTCCTGGAGAGCTGCAAGAGTAGAGCTAACGGATCAAGGAATGTAACTATTCTGTTGGATGTGGCACTTGTTAAGCAATACCTGGAATACTGATCCAGTTTTGGAGCATCCCAACAAGTTCAAGAGACCAGAAAAGCTAGATAGGGTCCAGCAAGAGGTTACCAACATGATTAGAGGGTCAGAAAACTTAATATACAAAGAAATACGAAGGAATTTAGTTTGGTCAGCCTAGAAAAGGGAAGGCTTACGTGGAATCTGATCAAGTCTTCCCATGGATAGAAGATGGTTATACAGAAGATGAAGGTACACTCTTCACAGGAGACATACAGGCAGAGCAAGACGCAATGGGCACAAGCTGCTTCAGGGGAAGTTCTGTCTAGATGTAAGAAAAATTCTTCACTGAGAGAAAAATTAAACATTGGAACAGGTTGCCCAGAGAAATGGTGGAACCTCCCTTGCTAGAAATATTCCAAGTTATCTTGACAGGCCTTTGAATAACCTGCTTTCAGCGGAAGATTGGACTAGTTACCTTCAGAAGTCTCTTCCAGGTGGACATTTATAGGAATGTAAAGGAAGTGTGAAGCACCATGATCTGAGTTAAGGGCACTTACACTAATTCTGCTGTAATGTAGTAAGCAGCTGGAGTAAATCAAACATTTACACAATCAAGTTAAATGAATTCTTCATTTATCTACATTTTTAAATCTTCTAACATTCAATTTAGATAAATCAAATGGGAAAGAGCTGAATTAATTTTGTATTGATTCTATTGTTAATTTTCTGTATAAAAATAAACAACAGAATGCGTTTACTTTGAAAACCAGTACTGCCGAAAACCTACACGATCTTTACCACGCAACACACAGGACAAGATCTGCTGTACCTAAGTTTTGCCTGCTAGCAAACCACATCGCAGCTTCTGCCCTCTGAATGAGAAACCTTAGTTGCTGAGCTACAGAGCTGCCCCTTCAACTCTATACCCAGTCACAACTTTGCAAAGAGAACCCGCAGATACAATTTTACAAAGTTGCTTCTCCCAAGAGAGCACCTGCCTTCATATAAACTTTCAAAAAGAAAAGTTTCAAATGGAAAGAGGAGGGAGGAAAGCAAAAGCTGTAGCAGAGCTGGGCGAGAGAGGACAGCACTTCAAGAGTCACATTATGACAAACATTCCCTGCGCTTCTTGAGCTCAGATTAACTCTGCCACTTAAGTAAATTCTGCATGCCAGCCCCATGCTAACTATAATGACACTTTCTGCTACAACCTATTTTAAAAGAAACTGAAAGATGATTTTCCCAGGAAAAAAAGAAAAAAAAAAAAAAAAAAAAAAAAAGCTAGGCCCTAACAGAGTAGATTCTTCAAGTCTATGCCTAGGAAGGAGGCAAACTTAAAGACTGCATCTTTTTTCTTTCTTGCTATCAAGCAAAAATATGCAAAGTGCTAAAATGCTTGTGATGAGTTAGAGATAAATGTAAGAGAAACAAACAGAGAAAGCAAGAAAGATATCCTCTCAAGGAATTAGCAGCATCTGATAAAATAAGCTGTAATACATGCTTTTGATCCAAAATTTTAATTTCTTTTTTTTCTTTCTTTTTTTTTTTTTTTTTTAAATCTAGTGTTCTGTCAGGGACACTAGTTGTGGAGAGGAAATCCATGGTGCTAGACAGCTGTGCAGTTCCTGCCTCAGTTTCCTTTTCTACTTGCTGAACCTGAGGTCAATGTTGATGCTGCTATAGCAGGCCATGATATACATCAGTAGCATAACTGCACTCAAATGTTTTAAATTAACATGGAAATGTGGAAATTTATCTATATAGTTATATATAATTTATCCATATAGCTAAGATATATAATCCAACCTTCCTTTATCTTTTTATGATTTGAGTGCTACATGCATTGAGCTCCCTTCCCGTAAAGGTCATTTTATTTCCCACTAAAACATATATTAAGCATCTGCATTTAAAAAACAAAAATCCCCACACTGCATCTGATAATACTTCAGACTTTGCAATTCTGTTAATATCCTGTTCCCCATGCTTCCTCCCACCTAAACTATGTGAATATTATGCTTAAGGAAAATGTTTTGGTAAGTATATCACAGTACCTTGCAAGTATGGTGAATCACTGGGTTGATTTATCAATTGATCTTCATCTGTTCAGATTTCAGAAGCTCTCTCTAACTCCTATCGGACTAATTCTGAAACAAAACAAGAACGGTGCAACAATGAGACATCTGAAACGTCATCTCAATTTCATAACAATAATTTTCTCGCTCCAAAACTCCTAGGAAGCACGCTATCAGTTCTACGAATACAGCCCTTGCAAAGCATTTAAAATTGAAAGGTAAGCAGGGAGTCGCTATGTCCTCTCATGCACAGAGCAGGTCTTTAAATGGCAGTCTGACATTACCAGGATGGCATGCATTGCTTGAAATCTCAATCTTCAGCCTACTACTGCATTTCGATATTACTGACCAGATTTCCAAGTCGAGGTTGTGTCTGTATCACAAGCTGCTAACGACACAGTGCTGGGTTTTCTGCACGGGATTTTTCCAGAATCCAGCCTGACTCCAACAACAGGAGCCCTTGCTGCGACGCAGCCATTGACATTTTCCCCACCATGTCATGTAACTCAGATGGCTAAAAGTGATCACTCGTGTGACAGTCAGTAATGCCTATTATTGTATCGCCGATGAATAATTTAACAAAAATTAGAAGGTTATATGTATCGAGGCCTTTTCCACATAAGAAATATGTATCATATCTAGGAAAAGTTTTTGAAACCTTTTATTTAAGACATAACCTTTCTGTTTGCATAAAATAAACTGAAGCATGGTTTATCTTGATTTAGTCTAAATCAGTGCTTAATTGGTTAAAGCTAACCCAAAGCACTATTAGAACTTAAAAGGGCATTTTCCACCATCCTTGCATACAGGTTACACTAAGGATCAAATAATTGACTTTTCTAAGCATTTTGCAATTCAACTAGTGATTTTTTTTTTTTTTAATCTAATAAGGAGTCATAAAGCTGGATTTACACAAGCCAATCTTGTGCTGGGAGTAGATACCACTTCAGAGAAAACCATTTTCTTCCTCTCAAAGGATTAAAGTCCAGACACGAGGAATGCAGCCCAGGAGGGCATCCAAGCCATCCTTTTAGACTCTTCTGCCCCCGTGGAAGGTGCAGGACAAAGCCTTTCTGGCTTCTGTTACCTCTCGGGGCAGCTGTCTGCAAACTGAGCTCATGTTTTCAAACACTCCTTATCCAGTGAAGATAAAACCCACTTTTTCATTTTAAAGTGCAGCTTTCCAGCTGACACTATCTTCACTGGGATCACCCACAGACATATTTACTCTTTCCAAGCCTTACTAAGCTTTACTCCGCTCAGCGATGCTCTTGACGCTAAGAACTGCATCAGAGCTTAATTATAGTCTGATGACTTTTCAAAATCCAAGATGTTGCCATCTTGAGTGGTCAGTACTAGCCAGCAAGCACTGCAGCAGCTTCTCTCTCTCCTCTGCAGTCACTGTTCTGCTTTGTACCTAATAAGATTTGGGGCAACTGGCCATTAGCAAATTCCTGCATGTCTTCACACTGAAATCTCACCAAGTCCTACAAAATCAACCTTTCTCTGTAGCTCCTTCCTGACTTGCTGGGAAATGAAATGCAGTCTGTCAAATCCATTTTTTTTTATTTTTTTTTGCCTTTGTCCAAGGGAGGAAGACTCTAAATTCAAATGGAGCAGGTCACTCAATGCTTAGCCCAGTCTCAGTCTATTCATGCAGTCCCATCTCTTTCCCACTTTCTTCAGAGGATACGGGAGCTCTAAGTGCAAAATACCCTTTATTTTACCTTTACTCACTAGTTACATAAAAAGAAATCTGCATCACTTTACAAAGAAATGGAAAAAAAAATCAGGAACCCAAACCCACATCTGCAAAGCAGATGCCTTTTCCAAAGAGTTAAGAATCTACGTGTATGACAATAAGTAAGTGGGAAGCAAAAATAACAGTTCAGATGAAGGTGAAGATTTTATTCTTACATACAAGAGATCACTGCACTAACTATGTCACCTCCCTGGAGTTTTGCTGTAGGGCTTACTTCTGGAGTGGAGTTTGAAGGAAGTCAAGCAAGTAAGTTTCAAAAGCACGAAGTGACAGCTTGAGGACTCTTTGAAGACATCACTTTCTCTGGATAATGGGTGGCAATGAACGGGAATGATCCGTATGGAGAGTCTGCAGTGGCTCAACTGGATCTGCAGCTGCCAGTGCAGAGCAGGGTCCAGAGGAGCATCTCCCTGGGAAAAAGCCACGGGGGCTCTTCCTCTGGAGAGCAGGCACTTTGCTACGCTGGAGAAGAGAAAGATGCCGGAAAGATGGGAAAATGACAACTATAGTCAAAGCAGCAATATGAGAAAATGGAAAAAGGCCTGCATGTCAAAGCAGAGTTCACACTATGTCACTCTCTGGACCTGAAAAAATCAAAGAAACCTGGCTGCAACTGCTGTTCAAAACTTTGAAGAGCTACTGATACCACAGCCTGGCAGAACAAAAGCTAAACCCACACAAAATTATTTCTATATAGGCATTGTTATGATTAATATGATGAATATTATATGATGAATAACGTATATTATTCAACTTAAGATAAAATGTAATGCCTACACTTATGTAAACAAAGATTTGGATGTAATAATGAATAATAAAAGCCTGATGAAGACTAAGCCTGATGAAGCCCTAAATGAAGACTGATACAGGGCTTCATTTTAGAGCTTACAGGTAAACCTAATGAGATCTTATTCTGCCCCTTGGAAAATATGGACATGCTTGTTGAAGGAATAAGGGATGGCCAGCACTACACTATGGGCTACTGTTTTGGCTAGCAAGTAACTCCAGTGTAAAACGGAGCAGCTCCCAGGACAATCTAACCTGTGCTGGGGACAGACCCAGGACCTGCTACCTCCAGAATGTCTTTACAGATGCAAAAATCAGGACTAAAAATAGATTTCCAATAAAGATAACAGACCAGACTTTTGTAAATACCAATTACAAAGTTGAAGCCTCTCAAGATTTCACGCAATGAACAAATGGAAAATACTTCTCACAAGTACTTAAATATTTACTAGGTATTTGTGCAAACCAAAATGCAGCAAAAGTCCCAGTGCACAAAAAAAGAGTAAGTTATTCTAAAACTACTTCATAGATATATATGAATCTTCACAGATAATTAAAAGGGTCAGACTTAAATAGTTAATATTGAAATGTCAATGGAGACTTCATTGCAGAAGTGCCTTTCAGAATGCACTGCAAGCTGCACTTGAGGGGTTCTAGCACTGATTACTACCATTCTCCTTTGCCTAATTGCAACATAAATACATTTGCATTCATTATTTTCCCAAATAAATTATAACTAATTTCAGCTTTATCTTGCAATGATTTTTTTCACGTAACTTCGAAACTTTCCTTAGCAGTAACATTAACAAAGTCATAAGAAGCCTTTGCATACTGCTATTTAAATGGCTTTAGCTGTTTAAATACAACCACATAAGGCAGAGAACAGGCAGGCCAGAAAAATACCCGGTTTCAGAAATAACGAATGATATTCTATATAGTTGTATCTTTTCTTATACTTCAAAACACCTGCATCTTACACTATGATTTACACGACCATTTGCAAGTTCAATCCGTAAAACACATTAGCTCGTGCTAGCAAACCATGACCCACGAGGATAATCACAATTATATTTATACCTTTAGAAACTGTATTTGTGTACAACTGGAGAAGAAAAGGACATATTCTGTGTTTGATGTTATAGAAACATTTCATACTAATTGCAACACATATTATATCACAGAATCACAGAGAAAGCCCAAAGGCTGGTAAGCAAGCAATAAAGATACTGGACATCAGAAATGTCCACCTTTTAAATAAATAAAATCCTGGCTGGCCCTTTAAAAAAAAAAGTGTGAAATGAAACAATATTTTTTAAAATAATACACAAATATATAATATAAAAACACACATACTTTTCAAGATAGAAAGCCACAGCTAATCAAGACAATGCAGAGCACGTGATTTACATGATTTGCAAAATTTGTTACTGAGCTTCTCTGCTAAAGGTAACATATTATTCCAGCTACACAGTGCTGCTTATTGCAGATTAAAGATTTCAAACGAGCTCCTCATGTATGTCACTATTGCGAGTGGTTATTTTTTATCTGTTTAATTTTAAACTATTCCAGGCAGATGAAAATCATTATAAAATCTGACTCGATTTAGGCACCATAGCACTAACCTTAACAGAGCTGTTGGTTCTTAAACAGGTACAACACTATTCCCAATGTAAACAAAGGACCCTGGCATGCACCCCGGGCTAAGGATGTCAGCATTTTTCAAGCACCTTTCTGACTGTTCCATTTTATGGTGATGCAATTTGACCTACATTTTCAATGGCCAAAGAGAGACTGAGGGATAGAAAGGGAGGAGATAAAGGAAAGAAAGACAGACAGATCTTTTCTGGCTTTATCCTCCATTTACTAAAGCGTTAACCACCCCTCAGGAGGATGGCGATGGGCAAGAATCAAAGCAGACTGTCCTTAAATTCTGAATGAGAAGCTGAAAGACAGGCTAGCATAAGAAATAGTCAGATTTTTCTACAAGCCTGAGAACAAGTACACAGTAATACCCTCAACAGCAGAGAACACCAGAATCAATAAGGCTATAATCAGTTGCCAGCACTAAGCTGTCTGAAATACAGATGCTTCTTTTGCTGCCTTGCATTTCCCATCATGTTTGTAACACCTCATTTTTAAAGACTCCCTTTAGACCTCAAAAAGGAACTCCAAAAATCCACACCATTATCACCATTTTTACCAACAGGGAAATTGAGGCAGAACTAGTGATTTCCCAGTAGTTACCTAATGGGCCCAAGGCAGGGCTGGGAACAGAAACCATCACTCTTCATTACTGCTGTACTGTGCAATCTATTAGGGCCTGGGATGCCTGACATACTAATATATAATGCTGACATAATTCTGAAAGTATCTCTATCTTGTATATGATCTTCACACAGGAAACTGTCCTAGATTATTGCAAATTGTTAGACAGCTTTCCCTCTCAAACGACGGGCTGTATTTCTTAAGATGGCTCTGGAAATGCACTTGACAGTGTGAATTGTAAAACCTGATATAAATACTATCTGTATTTTCACTATAAACATGTAAAAATAAAGGCTTAATTTAAGCTCTAATTACTTTCTCATTCTTTTGCAGCTAAAGCATCTTTCCTTTCAAAAGTCAGTATCCCTTTTCCAGCTAACGTAGTATCTAAAAAATAGAATTATGCTGCTTTAGAATTATGCTGCTAAACAAGAATGAAGATCTTTCTGTTTTCAGTTACTGATGTTTTAGTGCAAGGGCTGCCTTCTTGAAGAGTATTTCCAAAGTGTTTATGGCATCAGAACCCCTTTACTAACACTAGTAGTTAATGCAATACACAATATAACAACAAATCATCTTCTTATTGAAACTGAAGGCCAAAAATTGATCTTAAGTAGAGCTTTGTAAATCCAGAAAGACTCCAGTGCTTTCCAAAGAGTTTCTTGGGATTTGCATGTACATAAACAAGATTGCAATCTGGCACTGAGTTTGAAACCAGAGATCAATATAACATATAGATTAATTCCTGGTTTTGAACTGTATTTATTATCACAATAGCTTTCTTATCAAGCAATAAGTTGTCTCCTGAAATGCAATCTCCCCTGCACAGCGAACTGTCCTTCCTTTGCCAGGGTGCTGCTGCCATCTACACCTGCAGCGCCACATCTCTGCCTGGTGCTGATGGTGCTGGAAGGAACAGAGAGGAAAGAAGGATGAAGAGTATCCTGCTTTAAACTGAAGACACAGCAGAGAGTCAAAACAGCAGGAGAACAAGAATGAATGGAAGGAATTAACTGTAAAATCATTAGAGGGAATGTAGAAATTAAGAGAGTATGGACACTATAGATGTCCATCTACAGGAGATCGTGGGTATTGGGGAGGGGCAATGTCTGAAGAAAAGAGAAGTATTTCTCATACTAATTAGCCACACGTGTCCATTAGACTGCGGGGTTTTGCTCTTCTCTTCTAAACGGGATTAAAACCCTGCATTCCTCCACTCCTCTCCTGGGTTGCACCTTGTTCAACCTACTTTAATGTTTCAAAATGAATTCGGTGGGAAGCTTTGGTATTTCCTGTGTTACAAACAAAAACATAATTTCTCTTAATTTAGAAGAATCGATCCAGAGAGAACTCCCTCTTAGCTGCTTTCACCATTGTTACAGGTCTCCTTTGCAAATGTTTCACAGCATATTTCTGTGTTTCTCCTATTTTTTGCCTTTTTTTCCCTTCCTTTCTTGTGGCACGGTATCTCTTCAGATCAGAAGGAAGAGGGGTCGAGGTGACGTTTTTATTGCTGTCCAACACCATAAAAATTCCTGCTCGAGAAGCGACCCAGCGCAGGGCCTTGCAGGGTCCAAGCCCTGCGATCCCTCCGCTCCAACAGCGACTGCCACCTGGAGCCAGAGAGCACCGGCTCCCATGAAACACGGGACTGTTACCGAGAAAAACATCAGAGCAATGAGAGAAATGTTAATCCCAGCCATTTAAGCCCCAAGAACTCGCATTCTACACAGTTACAACTACCTTGAAAAATTTAAACTATTTGGAGTCCTCTTCTTAACAGGCCTGCTGGCTAATAAGCGTGTAGCCCGGGTGTCCCAGCTTCTCCCTGAAAACTGAAAGGCCGGTTGCATTTCATTATAAACACTTCTGAATTGTATATGCAGGAAAAATAATTAAAACAACACTACATTGCTTTTCAAGTAAATCCTCTGTTTCGGATCGATTTTGGAATGAGTTTAAAGTCTCCTCGGAAACATTCTTGTCTGTCTTTAATAAATATTTTATTAAAAAAAAAAACACAAAAAAAACCTAACTCATTCTCCTGACACATTCTGGACATTCACACAGGCCATACTCACATCTGAATGCCAAGCTCCATCATTAACTGAAAATGCAACAGCCAGTGTTTATACCTTAGAAAGACTACCTGCGTAAAACGCTGAGGGAAGCTTTAACATTAATATCAGTCATACTTATGAGATTAAAAAATGTCTTTCTAGTGACATGAACCTTAATTTAAAACCCTTAATATTTTCATTTTAAGAGATATTTTCATACTGACCTCAATATACTAATGGCTTAAATGTCTACACAAATCCACTTAAGCCAAGAAGACTTCTTACATAATGTAAATTTGACACGTGTTTATATAACATCTTGATTCAGGGTTGTCTATGATCCTATATAAAAACCATATCTTCTTTTCCTACTACTACTGCAAAAGCTATGTAGCTATTAATAGGCCACCATATATATTCAAGCATTAATCAAACAACCACTAGATATACATTAAGTGAATAAAAGAGTGAAATTTTGGTACTATTTATCTGGAAAAAAAAATTGCATTTGAACATATTCCCTGCAGCACTTGCTTTCTGTGCAAACCATTCTCATATCAAGCCGAGACTTTGTAAGTGTCTGCTAGCATATTCTGTAGTTATTAAAATAATTTATTAATCATAGCCTTTAATGTCTTGTCAAGAAATCAGTTCTCCAGCTTCCTCATTCCTCTTCTGTTCATGACCAGGAATGCTGCTAATGAAGCATTAAAAAACACAGAATTTCTTCTCACCTTTTCCCTGTTGCAGGAGATACACAACCTCCAGGTCACTCAGCATCCCTCCACTTACTGCTAGTTTCATTGAGAAACGAACTGGTTCTCAGGGGGTAAAAAATTCACAGAGAAGATGAAATTAAATATGATTATGAAACTCACTGTTGAGCTACCTGCTTATGCTCCAAGTGTCAAGCTATAGTCTTTGGAAAACCACAAGTTCTGCCTCTTGTTCACATGCAGCCACTCCAGAGGATCCCTGTTTATGCCACAGTCTTCCCTGTAAATCACTGCATGAATCCTCTGAAGCTTTTGCAATTCCACAGCTTGCCTGCCTGCAACATTACAGCAAAAAATAACACCCAAACGGAAGGAAAAATGTATCCTTTACTTGGTGTATGTGGCATCTCCGACAGCCTTCCTTGCAGTTATAAACCGCAATTGAAAAACAACTGCCAAACATGTCACAGAAAGTGCAAAATTAGTTCAACATAGATCAGTCTCATGCTCTAATCCTGTAAAAATCTATGCAGTGTGCAGATCTGTTATCCAGGAAGGCAATGGAAGGAGCCTCCCAAGGCTGGACAGTCTGTCCTGCAGCCCCAGGGCACGATAACTGCAGTTCTCATCAGGAATCATACAGAGTCTAACCTGTTTTTAAAGGCCTCAAGCAATGGAAATACTACTGACCCGTGGGTGATTTTTTCTCATGTTTTAATATGTCCACTAGAAAATCGTGTTGGCCCACGCTGCATCTTCTTTGCTGCAATTTAACCTTTTACCAGGGTCCTCTTGAAGCCTGCACACCTTTCCAATTCCGTGTTTTGTACTTACACATAAACCAGCTGAAAGTATGTGTGATATTTCTACCACTTCCAGAACTCACTTCATGTTCCCGAGATAATGAAACTGGCATTATTATGGCGAGGGCACAAATAGAGGGAGGTTGGTCCCACTGCTCTGCAGCAGAACCGCGCACGTTCCCGCTGCCTTCACAGGCAGGACACAGACCAGAGCTGCTGCAGCCCTGGAAACATGGAAAAACTGCTTGCCAAAAGAGAAGAAAAATAAAAAGTTAAAAATTAATCTGAAAGCTTCAGAGCGTATCCTTGCAAAATGTGATCACAAAAAGAAGTACTCTTGAAGAAGTACTATATATATATATATATATATATGTATGTATATCTCCTCCAATATCATATTTGTATGCCCAGGCTCTCAATAATTGCATTTTCTGATTTTCAAAGTAAATTTTACTATTAAGCTTAAGCCGAACAGACAACTATATCAAAGTCTCAAAATTCCTCTTGATTTAAAAAAAAAAAACAGAAAAAAAGGAATAATCTTTGAGTTAACATTGGAAGAACTGGAACACACAGTTCAGGTAATATTCTTTTCCTACCTCTGTAACTTTAAAACAACAACAAAAAGAAGACAAAACCAAAAAGGCTTTGAAATGAATTGCCAAAATACTTCACTCAACCACAACAAACAGTCCTGGGTCTCACTCATCCCTACAACCAGCCATCCCTGCATTAGGGCTGCTCAGTCCTATTTTTTCCCCAAAACCAGCATTGCAACTGCTTGAACGATACCTGCACAGACATCGATAGAGAACAAGTGCTTATTTAAAGGAAGAGCTTGAAGAAATCTCCGTGAGAAGCAACACATTCTCACAGCACCCAGCTCCACAGCAGAGCAACAAGAACCACCACCCGAGATAAAGAAGATGCAGGAGAGCAGGAATACTCACAAGCAGAAAGAGAAGAACACGTAGGTTGCAAAATGGCTCTCTTGGAGTTGCAGGTCTCTGCGCCAAATTTAGCAACTAGTCCTAGAGACACGATGGGGAACAGGCTCTAGAAGAGGCAATTACAAATAAAGGGGAGTCCGTAAGAATAAGCTCGATAAGAAACTCATTGCCTGTGTCTTCATGATACTGCAGGTCACATATGAGATAGCTAGTCTTACATGTGCACATGTTCAAAATACGTAACTGTTATGTTTTATTTGTATCAGTTTAGAGGAAAATCCTGTTAAGCTTCTGACACAATTGGAACCAAGAAGATCATATACACTGTATATGTTTCACTGCTGAGATTTGTACAAATAAAAATCTACTCTAAAAGGTACCTTGATTTTCCAAACAGCACCCAGCCCCACACGGATCCAGTATTACCCTGACTTCCTTTTATATTCCAAAACACTCTTAGTGGTTAAAATTATGTGATTTATTCTTTTTTTTTTTTTTTTTTAATTAAGCTCATTGCAGAACCTCTGTTTGAAGTGCTCTTCATAAACCCAATCATTCCTCCTCAGTACTGTGTGAAGCCCCATTGAAATCACTTCAATCTCTTTCACTGGCAAAGTTCAAAACACTCTGAAGAGCTCACGAGATCAGGACAGGCAATTTCTTTAACATAAACATTTGGAAATAGCAGCGCTTGGGCTATTTCCTTCCATTGGTTTGATGGCATTTTATCTACAGTTACAGTAAGTTGCTCCTGTTTGTGGATTAAGAGAAGGGAAGAAACGTTTTATTAAGAAAACTGATCCTAAATACCCTCCTACTCCAACCCTGGCAAAGTGGCTGCAGCTCAAGTACAAACTAGTCATTTCTAATTAAATTTCCAATTCATTACCTATAATTACATATTACAAAATAAGTTCTACAAGTTTTACTTTAAATATACATGTGCACTACTTTAATTAATGTTATTTTAATGTGCACTACTTTAATCCATGTTATTTCATTGTTCAACACCATTCTAACCTTACATATGCTTTGCAGGCACTGAAAAACACAAGCAGATCTCAAAAATGGAAAAAAATAAACAAACACAAATGCCAAAGCTACACAGCAATGAAACTAAAGTGAAAATATTTTCAGTGAACCACAAAATTGCTGGTGCATGCTTGCAGTTATTAGTTGTATAGTTTGTTTTACTCTCATCTTTTACAAGCCAATCCTTTTTTTCATATGAGTAACAAAATCAAATTTATTGGGACTTTTTCCTTCTAACTAGCTCAATTCTATCACATATAATGAAAATTTTAATGTTATTAAAACAAAGGAATAAGGTGAAAGGACGAACAGAACTGCTTATACAGCTGGCTGTCACGCCTGCTGCACCAAAATTTTGAAAACCAAAAAAAAATCCCAAACCAAAATGCTTGTTTACACCAAGACTCAACTCAGACATGATGATAATACAAGTTACTTTGAACTTTTTATAAACTCTACTATGAAGAATTACATTTTGGGCCCAATACTCTGAGAATGCTACCAAATGAATGGCCTCCAGCCTGCATATGGTTTCTGTGACAGCCACACATGCAGCCACTTTCAGTCATCAACTGAAATCAGTGTATATTTGTACTTTATATACATGGTATCTTACGCCTATCTCCCCTTTTGCTAAGCAGATTGAAAGTGTTTTATTTACCTTTCACATCCCTCCTGAAGTCATTTACAAGCAAACTATTTTATTCCATACCTTGTTTTTTGGTTTGCCTACACTTTTCAAATCCAAACTCTACTCCTGCTTGCACACACAACATGCAGAAATTACCAAGCAGGAAAACAGACATCTTTGAATAGAACCTGATCTTCACGTAGGAAGTGATCCTTGCTATGCTTGCATGATTTTCCTTTTTTACTTCAACAACTAACTTGCTTTTATGGATTATTTTTTCCCATGTCCTGATGCTTTGGTCCTCAATTAGACAGTACCCAAGCACCGGGCTCCAGAGTCATGTCCATTCAGGAAAATACAGCTCTTACGAGTCAGGAGCCTGGTGATTATGGAATTTGCTCTCACGGAAAGAATGACAGGCTCTAATCCCCTTGAGAACAAGGATACTTGGGCTCAGGTATCCCACAACAACTCTGCTAAGGAAGCAAAGTAGAGTGGGACCGCTACCACCTCCTGGGTTTCGAAAGCAAAGATCGACCCTTGCTCCCTTTGCAACAGAAAGGGCTCACGATCCTCGCTGCAAGAGAGCCAGAATCCTAAACGCTCCCTAGAGGAAGGTGCTCAGCCCTGGAAACAGGCAGGATTTAAGGCCCATTTCTCGTTTAGCGGCTGTGCAGAAAACGTGCAGATTTGTCATCTCCTTCAGGCTGATCCAGCTGGGATCCAGCTTCATAATTCCTATGAAATACCAGCAAATACTAAGCCCCCTGATTCCACCTTCATGGAATCACTACAGCCAGTCCCGATCTTCCCTTGGAACAACCTGCAAGCGGAGAGCAAGGAAAAGGCCCCACCTGCATGCCCCCCATCCGCCTCTGCGAGGCTCTGTGGGCAGATGACCCACTAGCACCGACCCCACGCACATCTCCCGAAATATTTGCTTAAACCATTTGCTTCCACACCAACGGAAGCCAAAGTTTGGCAGCCACGCTTGGCTCACACACGCACACACAAAATAAACAAGCAAATAATTAAAAACCACAGAGGAAAGGATGTTTTCTGCCTTAAAAGGCCCTAACTTGCACATAGGATTCCCGCTGCTGTCACCCACGGCAGCTTCTGATCATTGTTACCTTATCAGCAAGGCACTGTTTTCATTCAACGTATGACACAGTAAAACATAAAACAAGCAGGAATCACCAGGGCACGTGACTGGGCCTCGGATTATTTCTGTTTCACTGCTCAGGCTTGGACTTGACTCGGAAATTAAAGCACGAGCACACGCTCCAGTCCAGCACGTTTTACAGAAACTGCAAATTGTCGCTGCTCTTAAGTATTTACCTGCTGAGACATTCCTCCTCGTAAGAGAAAATACTCTTAAAACTGTAAAAACTTCCCAAACAAAGCACAGAAACCATTTAACGCTAGAAATAGATGGGTTTTGTCACACACTTGCTACTGCCTTTCTCTGAGACCGGGGTGTTTCTCCCGCCTCTCCCCACAACATGGGGCTTACTTTGCCCTGCTCCAAGGCCATAAAACTTGTGGGTGTGCTTTCCCAGATGGGATCTGCTTTGAGAAAGAAACAAACCACGCCGAAAAACAACCAAAAGCAATCGGTTTCTGCGAAGCTTTGAAAGGCTGACTCAGGCGCTGCGCAATCACTCTGATTCAGCTTTCTCAAACGCAGTCAAAGAATCTGCTCCCGTGACCGGCCGAACGCCACCCTGAAGACAGGCACGAGCTGCTTTCCAGGGGAGGAAATGCCTGGTTTTCCTCCTAATCCTTGTGCACAATCTCTCCAGTAGCACTGGCAGTTATTTATTAAAATATTGGTTTATTCAATATGATATTCACGGCTCTCTTGTTGTGCATCCAACGGTTCAAGCCACAGTTAAGTGCAAACAGTTACCGTGTGGCTCAAGGCCAGCAAAGCCAAATTCGTCTTCTCGGTGAGTGTTAAAAGCTCACTCGGTACCCACCTCTTCCTCTGAAAACACTGGGATGCTGCTAATGATCTTCAGGACACAGCATAAACGCTACCAAATCCATGACCTGGCAAATGAGGAAAGGAAAAATACATCCTTATATATAAAAAATAGAACAAAGCAAAAGGCCACACTGAAGATACTCTGCCAATAAACTAACGGGCTCCTGGATAAACTGACTAATCCTGCCCACCAAAATGACTGTTTCCTGACAAAATACACATAAAGTGAAGTGTTTCCCTAAAATCAGCTGCTAGTCATTTGGAATCGTGCACTGCAGGCCCAGCAGGGGATCCCCTACGCTACGGCCGGGCAGGCTGTGGTGGCAGCGACGTTCAGATGAAACGAGAAACCTGCCCAGGACATCGCGGCAGCCTCAGACACTGCGTTTCACCAGACACCTGCGAAAACACCTCGGCTTCCTCACGGAGCAGGAGCCTGCAAAGGTCCCAAAAACAAGGGTCACAAAGCAGGGCACCATTTCTACCTCTTGGTTCTTCCATGAGCTCAATTAAAGCACATTTCGAGGTGCAAACAAGGGGGCTTCCGCTAGCCGAGCGCTTCCCTCCGCTGCAAGCCCAAACTCCCAACACCTCCATTTCCAGCCTCATAGAATTCCAACTTCAGCTTGACAAGCTTTAATAAAACAGTGATGGAACAGCTTAAAATGCATAATAATTGATCTTAAAGTGCCATAAATATTCAGCAGCATCTAGATAGGATATGTGGAAAGCTGTTATATAACTCCTGTGAAGATACCTGCCAAAGTGCAGTATCCAAATGCTATCAATATAAACTCGATCAGTCAAGAGATAAGACCCTTCCTTAAGAAAATATTACTGAAAATACAGCATTTTTTTTTTCAAAAAAATACTAAAAAAACCTTTTGCTTCCTTGAATAAGCTTTTGTGGTAAAAGAATTGGTAATAGTAGTAGTAACAAAGTATTTTTTTAACAAAAATAACAGAACGTTTCCAGGACTTCTCTTTTACAAAGGGCTTCAGTCAAAAAAAAAAAAAAAGTATTTTACAGCATCTTTCACTAATGAATTGAAAAATAAAAATAATAGGAAATAAAAACAATCCTGTAGTCCACAACTTGTGGTTACATCATCATTATCTGAGAGAAGACTTGTTTTTAAAGCACCGTACCAAGAATACATGTAACCAGTCTTGGCAACACAAGGAGTAGCCAGCAAAATTGATTGCTGTTTGGATAATAAAGTGTGAGGTTTTTTAAAATTATTATTATGTCACTACAGCCACAGATGGTATTTTCACTCTCCCTTCTCCTGTTATGTTCTAATTCTATGAAAATGTGCTAGCTCGGCAGAAACACAAGGGTCCGTGTCAGGAAAGCTTTTTACAAGACTAAGAACCACACTGTTACTATGTGTTTTTTAAAAAAAATACCTACTATTTTTTCTCCCAATTTCAGTTACATTTGCCCAAAGCAAGCCCTTTCAAATCTGCAGAGCTAGGCAGCCCGTGCCTAACAATTTTAGTGCAACTGGCTGACAAGTTCTTGAAACACTGAGGCTGGTTTCTAGTAAATGCTGAGGCTAAGGAGGCTCTACACTTTTAACAGTATTTAAAATGAGAAAACACCACTGGCTGAGCCTGACATCAACCTTAGACAAAACGAAGGAAAACAATCAACAAAGAAATAAAAGATGGTGATAAAAAGTAATGCTTAACATAGGTTTTCAGAAAATAGGTCTTGTTAAAGAAATTTGGTGTGGTTTTCTGACAAGAATATAGGTTGGGCTAGATAAAAATACCTTCCAGTTTGTGACCTTCTATACTTAGATCTGTGCAAGATTTAGTGCCACACAACAGTCTGATTTAGAAGTTATTCAACACGAAGAAAACCTGGAATCTAAAACCACCTCATAAATTATTAGGGTGGCTTAGGAAAAATATTTTAAATCCACCTCATCAATAGTTAAAGCTGTTTTCTTACCTCTTAAAATCTTAGCTTGTTATAGCTTTGAAAACTATAAAAAGCTTCTTCCTCTTTAAATTTTTCCTCATTTGGAAAAAAAATAAAGATAGGTGTATACAGCTAAAGAAAAGGGGAGAAGGTATAAAGTTAATTTAACTTCAAAAATTATCTCACAGATTCTTTTTCCATGAAAGAAATCAATGTTAGCACATCCCCTTATTATAAAAATCCAGGATACTTAAAAGCCACTTTCCAGTAAAAAGGGTACTGATGAAAAATCTGAACCAGTTGCACACACATGTAGCACCTTGCAGGACTACACATACCTAGTTTATACTTCTTGTACCCAGAGCCACGTGGCAGCATTACAGAGCATCACTTCACACTTTTGACAGGGACAGGTGTGTAATAAATTATTACATATAAGCTGTTTCTGGATTTTACCATATGGCATCCACAAGGGAATCTGAGGCAAGAGGGAAAATTACTTCACATTTAACTTGGTTGAAAGCCCGAACACACAGGTACTTATCCCAAAAGAGCTGGCAGGGAGAAAGGTGTTATACCCCTGTAAGACATTTTTTCCTATTCCATGACTCTCAGTTGACTTCTGAATACTGGTATCTTAAGGACAGCTCAATGCTACTTAGGGCCTTTGTCAGCTAAATGAAGTTTATATATAAAACATGTAGCTTATACTATCTGCAGAGAAGACAAGAACTGTAAGGGGATAAATAAATAAGAATAAATCCACACTGCTCCCGGATCTACAGAATACATTAAGCCTAATTGGTGGAAGAAGTATGCTTGCATACTACCTAGTGTAAAACCTATTCCATACACACGGAATAAAGAGTATTATTTACATGATCATACACTGAGCAACTCTGCTTTGAAAAGCAGCAAATCTAAAAAAGACTCCATAGACCTAGTGAACACTCGGGTAAATAGAAAACAAGGTAAAACACATTCTGGATGTTTAAAACAACAAAATAGGGAAGAGAACGGAATTTTACATCAGTATGTAGCATTAGTAAAATGCTTGATGAGGTATTTATCGAGTCCTAGCTTCAATACCAAAGTAAAAAGGAAGTAACTGAACACGATGATGCCCAAAAGCCCCGTCTTAAAAAAAAAAAGGGAAAAACAAGGGATTTGTTTTCTAAATTGCCATTATAAGTCTAACACCCAGAACACAGAAAGAATATTGAGTTAGTAAGAAATTTGTAAGCACTGATGCATAGGATGAGAATGGCATAAAAGTCATTAAAAATAATTAACTAATCACATAGACTGGTGTATTCCAAATTAACTACTCAGGAAATACCTACTTGTCATTGTGAAGAATTTCATAAAGTTATCTGATCAACAATAGAATGATGAAAAAAAAAAGAAAAAATGAGAGATCGTAATACAAAAGTATTACAACATGATGATACAAGTAATTGTGGATCTTCACCTTCAATTCTCATCAGCTCAGATCTACAGTGGAAATGGAAAGAGCTAAGATAGGGCCAACAAATATATTACCTCTGGGCAAGGCAGTGATGCTTAAGATACTTAAGACTGTAGTTCAGAGAGGTAATCAATTGGTAAAGAGGGAACAGCACCAACAAAACACGCGTAGAGAAGTTCAGTTAGGTCTTCTTCTTATCCTCTGCCAGAATACTAGGGATATATCACAGTGAGCGATGCCTTGGAAAAAAAGAAAGACTTTTGTCAAACCAGTTATAAACAAAGGCAAGAAACTCAGAATTCTAAAATACATACATATGTATAGCACATACATGGGTCATGAATTTATGGCTTCAGAATATTACTGGGCCCAAATTTTATTTAATCAAGTGGAAAGTTAGATCATCACATAAAATTAGACCACTCACAAATTGGGTAATAGAATATGAAAATTTCAAGACCAGAAATTACTTATCCAGATTTTCTATACTGGAAGTTCTTTATTCTCTGAACTTGGGGTGGTGTTTCAGTGACCACTGGCTGCAATGCCTTCTCAATAGCACCTTGCAAAGAATCTGACAGTCATCTCTATTGAAGACAAAGTACTGGCTCCAAACAACCTAGCAGTGTGTAAATACCTGTTAAATGCCACTATCCAGAACAAAAAGAACCTTGTAATCACTCACAACCTTAAACCAGGAAACTACAGATTACAGCGCACTGACTTTGTCCTTTTCTTACACTGATTTTTCCAAAATGCCTAACACTGTCAAAACAAAGCACTGGCCGGAGTAAGAAAATAAATGTGTAGAGCAGAACAAGTCAATATCCTACATCCAAGCCAAAATGAGGAGAGAGAACCACGGTGTCAGCCTTTGGACATACGTCTCGCGTATCAATGCTGCAGCATGACGTATATTTCAGTAATGCGGCCAACTTCAGCACTGCTTAGGTGTCAAAGAAGCTAAAACCCAACATTTGACAGCAATAACACCTTAGCATCTCTGTTCTCTGGACACCTCTAGGCCTTTTTTTTTGTATTCCAGCGGCAGCTTTGGTTGATTTTTCAGGGCAGGAAGACACAACTCTCAGGACTATGTGCCCAGCTTCCCGAGCCAATGCGGGTGATGGCTTTGGGCACAGCCATGGAGCAGAGATCCCTTCGGGCCACACAGCACAGGGCGGCCGTCCCTGTGGTCCCCAACGACACACTGGTGGGGCCGAGCCCAGCCATGGCTGCTGTCCCCGTCCCCATGGCTGCTGTCCCCAACCCCAATGACACGCTGGAGGAGACAAGGCTGGGAATGGACACTCTCCTTGTGCCCAGTGACACCTCAAGGGCTTGAGACCAAGTACGGCCGCTGTCCCCGATACCAACCTCGAGGGGTTGAGACCAGGCAGAGCCGCTGTCCTTGTCCCCAAGGACAGCCCAAGGCCTTGAGGGGCCAGACGCAGCCATGGCCGCTGTCCCTGCTGCCACCCTCAAGGAGCCGAGGCCGGACGTGCCCGCTGTGCCCATACCCAGTGCCACCCTCGCAGGGCCGCAACCAGGCACAGCCGCTGTCCCCATGGTTGACACCAGAAGGGCCACGAGCAGGTACGGCCGCTGTCCCTGTCCCCAGTGATCCCCTCGAGGGGTTGACACCAGGGGTGGCCACTGTCCCTGTCCCCAGTGCCGGCCTCGAGGGGCCACGACCGGGCACGGCCGCTGTCCCCGTCACCAGCGACACCCCCGGGGGGGCCGCGACGGGGCCGGTGCC